GCACAGGCTAGAGTGCCATGGCGTCAGCCTAGCTCACAGCAACCTCAAACTCCTGGACTCAAGTGATCCTTCTGCATCAGCCTCCCGAGTACTTGGGACTACAGGCATATGACACTATGCCCAGCTAGTTTTTTCTACATATTTTTAGTTGTCCAGCCAATTTACTTCTATTTTTAGTAGAGACAGGGTCTCGCTCTTGCTCAGGCTGGCTCATTTAGTTCTTATACATACATATATTCTATATATATTTGTATATATCTATGCATGCATACATATATCCTGTATATATGTATGTACTTTCTATATAATGATATATATCATTATCATATCATATCAGTATTTTACCAAGATTTTATTATTTTTGTCTGTAAGAGGGATAGTTCAACAAAGTATTAGTACTCCACCACTGCTGAAAGCCCAAACCTAAGATTTGTTTGCTTTTTCTATTTCATATAAAAGACATTATAACCTACTTATATATCTACTCTCTTTTATGCAACATTATATTTTTTATTTTCATCCATGCTGTTGTAGATAGCTATAGTTTGTTCATTTAATTTTTACACATTGTGATAAAATATACACAAAGTAAATCATTTTAACCATTTATAAGTGTACAGTTCAGAGGAATTAAGAACATTCACACTGTTTTGCAACCATCATCCCCATACTAAGGGAACTTCTTTCACCTTGCAAAACTAAACTCTGCACCCATTAAACAACTGCTCTTTGTCTCCAGCCCTCTAGTCCCTGAAACCCCTATTCCACTTTGTATTGCTATGAATTTAACTACTCTAAGTACCTCATATGAATGGAATCATGTAGTAGAGCAAAGAAATCATGAGGAAGAATGACACACAATGTATAACATATGTCTAATAAAAACACAGAGACCAGTAGTACATAATGATTATAGATAAATACAGATGAAAGAGGAAAAGAGATTGAAAGAGCACGTTAAATTTATGACAATGGTGCCTCAAGTACCAGAGCAGCAAGGCCCTCACCACTGTCAAAGGGCTGGGGAGTGGTGGAGCTGAGAGCCCAGGTTAGCAGTCGGACTCCCAGAGCCCACACTTACCCCAAACTTCACTCAGTCATGATGCCCTCTGCCTCTCCTTGTGGCCTGTTCTCCTGGGCCTTGAAGGTGTTTCTGGCCTACTGAAATGGGGTGTTCAGCTTGAACCATATGTGATAGCTGCAGGACAGAGAGAGGCAGCTCTGAGGCTACCAGGAATCACACCTCAGGTCTCCCTCCCCTTGACTGCTCAGAATCTGGAGTCCTGGTGCCCCAGCACTCACCATGCAACAGGGCCTGATGCTGACCAGGGAGCCATCGCCACAGCTCTATACAGATGGCCACAAGAGAGTATCTCCTCTGTGCCCTCTGCCAATCCACTAGGCTGTCACCTCTCATTCTGACTGAGCCAGTCCATGGACTGGACCCAGCCCCTAAGTTCCCCCTTAGGCTGAAGATGGTAATTATTTGCAACTCCCTGGACCAGCTGAATCTTCTGGAGGACTTTGATCTCCTGGAGCCAGAAGGAAGGACAGGATGATGACAGGACCTTGGGAAGATGAGGAAGGGGAACTGTGAGTGAGGCAGGGAGCAGAGACTTGTCTCTAAGGCTTTTCTCTTAAGGGCCTCTCCTCCCCTCCAATCCCCTACAGCCCCAACCTGTTCTCATAGTTGGTTATAAACAGCCCCATCTCCAAAAATTGGTCCTTAATTTCAGTTTCTACCTGCACCCTCCATTGGAATTGGTCTCCTTCTTCTCTGTGTGTTAAACCCTCCAAAGAAATCTAAGATGCAGAGGATGGAGCCAGGGCATGTCCTGCCCAGGGGGGGTCTCTGACTTCCACATACCCATTGTCCCCCAAAAGTGAGGGCCCCAGCTGCTCACCTGCCTCCCTTTTATATGTTGAGTGCATTTCCCTGGAAGACAGACAGTCAAAGTCCAGCAGACAGGTCCCCTAGTCCATGACTAGCCCCCATACCCACCCCATCCCATGCTGCACTACCACCAGGGCCACCAGGGCCACCAGGGGCAGGGGATGTGCATAAAACAGCACTGATCTACATCATGCTCTTGGATGTAGAGAAGGGAGGCATGGCAGCTGAGGCTCAAGGATCTTCTGTCCCAACACAGTTTGATGACAGATAGGAAAACTGAGGACTTGCACAGAAGAAAAGTGATCAGCCACTTAGGAGCTGCCTGACCATGGAGGGGCCCAATTTCACTCTCCTCCCATGGGCACCACCTGAGGGAGAGTCTGAGTGTGGCTCTGCCAGAACCTCAAGCAGCTCTGAAGCTTCACTACTAAGGGAGCAGAGACTGGCAGCTGATATGGAGCCTCCATCACTCCTAGGTGAGATGGGCCTGATGCCCTAGCTCAGAGGAGCAGCTGTGATGCTCTCATGAGAGTTTTGCTGAGTGCTGAGATCTAAGTGCTTGGTTCAGGGGTCTATATTCCCAAGCCTCAGGATCCTGATATGCCTACTCCAGACTCACTCACAGTCACATAATCCTTCATGGTAGTGTCCAGCACTACCAGGTCATTGAGGAATGTGTCCAGGAACAGAATGACACCTTGAGCCATTGGGGTGGTAATGGTGATGAGAACCCATCCTCAGGTGCCTACCCAAGGCCTGTTCCTGAAATCTCATCAATCCCTGTCTCCTGGACTCTCCTACTAAGGTCTCCCACTTGCAGGAGCCAAAGACGCTCAGCTGCCTCCCCCAATTCTCTCCCTCTTCTCCCCCAAGCTGCCTTCCAAGGCCACCAAGAACCCCCTAGTTATCTCCATAGTGAGATTTTTAACAGGTCACAATTTCTTCGGGTCTCTGGCTCCACCCCTTTCCCAGTCTACTCTGAGCTTAGCTCTTCGAGGCCCTTGCTCTGATCTCTCTGATGGAGAGAGACCATTTCAAGCACTGTCACAACAGAAATGAAGGATGGGGAGAAAGGTCCCTGCTGTCTTGAAGTGGAGGCCTCCAGCTGAAAGGAAGGTGCCCCTATCCCTGACTTTCTGAAGTCCTTCCCTGCCAAAAAGATACTCACATTCTGCTGCCTCATTTGGGCTCCCTGGGGGTTCCTCTCCAGGGTGGACAACTTGGAGATCCACACCTGCCAGTGTCAGAGACGAGGTCGGTGAGACTATTCTCCACCCACCCCAGTTACACCCCAGCCCCACTGACCTTGGATCCTGAATAACTGGCCTAAGTCAGCTGGTACAGTGCTACTGCCACCTCTAGTCAACTGTGATTCTAGATTCACTCCCAGTTCCAAAATTCACTTGATGCGTCTGTGACCTTGGGCATACAGCCTGGCCTCCCCGAGACTGTTCCTCATCTGGAAAGTGCAATGGGAACCATAGCTACCTTACAGGGTCTCCTGAGGACTCAGTTTCAAATAACTATCATCATTGTTCTCACCATCATCCCTCTGAGGAAAAGCCTGGCACAAACACCCTCACATTTCTACCCTCCTTGAAGACCATCACAACCCTGTGATTCCTGTACAACAGGCTCATCATTCCTACATTTTCCAGAGGAGGAAACCCAGGTCCAATGAGGGCAGTGACTTCCACAGGGCCTCCCAGGGGAGGCTGGCTTCTTACCCCACCTGGCAGCCCTGTCCAAGTGGCCTCCATCCCACACCCCAGCACCTTCTGGAATGTTTATGCTTGTCTCATTCCCTAGCCAAGCCCAGCCATGTTGGGAGGGGTACAGGGTATACTGGGAGGCCTGGTTGAGTGGCTCTTGCCTGCTCCAGACCCACTGGAATCTCTGCCCACAAGAGACCATTCTAAAGGCTTCACAATCCTAAGGAAGAAAATTTTCACAGAACTGCCTCTTCCTCTATGCAGGAAGTGGTCAGTCACCCAAGATGCTATCTGTGACTAATAAGAGACGGTCTTTAATTGGTGGTTATAAGGTTTTTGGTGGTGGAGAGACCAGTGGACATAAGTTACGGCAAAACAAGTGGCTTTATTAAAGCACTCCTGGGCGAGGTTCACAGGTCCTAAGGTCAGGGCCTGAGAAGTCGCGCCACCCAGGACTGAGGCAGGGTTTTTATATGTGGGGTGAAAAAGGGGGTCTTGGAACATTCAGGTAGGATGTGGTCATTTGAAGTCTGAGTACTTTGCCTGCAGCAGATGAGTAGGGCAGGAAACCGAGCTCAGGGTGTTCAGCCAGCTTAGCTGTTCTTGCCAGTCATAACAGGATGTGGCCTGGCCCCAGCTGCAAGCCAACAGGGAAGGGGCCCAGGGCTGTCATTGCTGTGCCTGTGGGGGTCTTTTGGCCAGGCTTACATTCTAGCCTCTTTGGTTATAAAGGGGCAACGAGTCCATCTGGCTACTTCCTGCTGTGAAGGGGCGACAGGGGATTAGAGGCTGGAGTCGGCTGGTGGAGGGGTCATTGACAAGGGGTAGTATGGATATAGAAGCAGTTGGTTGACAGCCACCTGGGAGAGTTCCTGCAGCCGGCGTTGGAGGAATTGTAGGAGGCAAAGAGTGAAAAGAAAAATTAGGTAGATGATCATAATGGGCCCTAGAAGGGGGAGCAACCAGGCAGCTAGAGGGGATTGTAGCCAGCTGAATGTACACGAGTCCTGGTGGTGGTGGTTGTGGAGATCTTCACTCAGGTTGGACAGTTTATTTATGTTTTGTTTTATGAGGCCTGACCTGTTTACATAGTAACAGCATTTTTTGTGTAGAAAGATGTAGGTCCCTCCTTTTTCAGCCATGAACAGGTCCAGGGCCCTCCTGTTTTGGAGTGTTACCTGGGCTAAGGAGGTGAGTTGTCTTTGTAGCAAAGCTAGGGAAGCGGAGGTGGTCTCCAGTGTTATTTGTAGTTTGTCTGTAAAGTCCTGGGCTGAGATCATATTGTGACCAAGATCCCCTCCCACCACCCCAGAGGCGGCGATGGACAAGGCCAGAGTGAGGCCGACCATGATGGGCAGGAAGATGGCCTGCCATGGCCGGGGACCCGGGAGAAGTCATCTAAACTCTGCCTCACCGTAAAGGGTCAGTTGGCGAACTATCATGACTGGAAAGCAAGGGCCTGGTGTGGAGGCATCAATGCAGCGGGCAAGAATTCCATTGCACCAGAAGAATTGTCCTGAGGCAGAGGAAGTAGTTGCATTGACAGTATGGTTGGTGAGATAGTGGCCATGAAGCTGTAGGTTAGGATCAGTGTGAGAGGTGAGGTAGTAAATGTGGTCTGCACAGGGCTGGCCTGTTGGCTCAGGTTCCCATAAGGGAATATGAGGGAGAGGTGAAGAACAGCTGAGCACTGGAGAGGGGGTTAATGGGGGAGCATAAGATTTTAAAGGTATTGCAGCTAGTAACGGCCATTGAAGAGAGATGTAGAGAAAGGAATGGGATATGTTGGGGACTATTGCAGAGGAATTTAGGAAGGTGAAGGTAAACTGGATGATGTCCAAAAAGGAAGAGAGGGAGGAGGTTCGGGGTTTAGGGGACAGGTGGCTGGCCAGGGCCTGTTCTGTTTGGAGAATGTTGGAGGATACCTGTATGTGTGTTTGAAGGCTTTGGGGCAGTAAGACATATTCCCGACTAATGTGGAGGGTGTCCTGCAGAGTGGAGTAGTGTCTTGTTTCAATATAGTTTATTGGTGATGCCAGTTTGCCTGGTGTTGAGGATCAGAGATGTCCAATAAGAATCCATTGCCAGTGGAGTAAAATATGTCTTTGCCTTTACCTTTCTCTGGATGCGGCAGGTGGAGTATGGGCAGCCCCCATAAATGTTAGTGTCACGGAGGTAATAGCTAGTTGACTGATCATAAGGGAAGCATAGAGCGTATGTATATTTACAGTCTTGTCTCTGGCTAAGTGCAGTGCACGGGTGAGGGCAATGAGTTTAGTCTTTTGGGACGTGGTGCCCAGAGGGAGCCAACAAGCCTTAAGTGTCTGGGAGGCAGAGACTATGGCATAAGCTGCATGTCATCTGCCATCAACTCTCTGAGTGGAGTTATCATCGACAAACAGGGTGAGATCTGTATCAGGCAGGGGTTGATCAAAGAGGCCTGGTCTGGGCCCCATCAAGGCATTGACCAGTTCCGGACAATGATGTGTGCCTAGCTCCAGGCTAGGAATAGGGAGTAAGGTAGCCAGGTTGAGGGAAGGAGACTGGGCTAGACAGACAGAGGGGTTTGGCAAGGAGAGAGAAGTTGGGGATTCAGTGTTGGAAGACACTGAAAAACTTGAGGAAGGACAGAATCTGCTCGGCAATGGTGGGTGGCTGAAGGTCATGAAGAGCCTGCTGGTGATCAATAGTGAGATGATGGGAAGTGGGGGTGAGACGAAGTCTAAGGTAAGTGACAGTGGGTGTAGACAGCTGAGTCTTAGAGGAGGATACCCGATAGCCCTTAGATGCAAGAAAGTTGAGTAGAGAGGCAGTGTGAGTCTTGGAGTGTTGTAGAGAGGGACTACAGAGTAGCAGATCATCAATGTATCGGAGGATGGTGCTAGGTTGTAAGGGACACTGGAGTAGGTCCTGGGCCAGAGCCTGACCAAATAGACGGGGGCTGTCCCGAAACCCCTGGGGCAGGACAGTCCAAGTGAGTTGTCTTGATGTGTTTGTGTCAGGATCTTTCCATGTAAAGGCAAAGAGATTGTAGCTGGCTGGGTCTAAGGGGATAGTAAAGAAGGCATCTTTGAGGTCCAGGACAGAAAAGTGGGTAGTGGAAGATGGTATACAAGAGAGCAGGGTGTAAGGGTTTGGGACTACAGGGCGTATCGGAATGAATGCCTCGTTGATGAACCTGAGGTCCTGGACCAGGTGGTATGAGCCGTTTGGCTTTTTAATAGGCAGGATTGGGGTATTGTAGGGAGAGTTAGTGGGAACGAGGAGGCCTGTCTGCAAAAGGCGGTCAATGATGGGCTTGAGACCTCTGCAGTGTGCAGACAAGATGGGAAACTGAGGTCATGAAGGGAGAGAGGATGGATCCTTGAGCTGGATAAGGACGGCGGTGTGGTGAGAGGCGACAGTGGGAATGGAGGTGTCTCACACCCGGGGGTCCACTTCCTGAGCAGGCAGCAGGAGTGGAGGGGAATCACCTTGGTAAACACATGTAGCGGGCAGTAAAGAGAGTAGTAGTAGGCAAGCGGGTCCCGAAGAGAAGCTAAGCATGGGCTCTATCTTGGCTAGTATGTCATGCCCTAAAAGAGGAATGGGACATATAGGCACTACAAGGAAAGAGTGTGTGATGGGGCGTTTATTGAGCCAGCATGTCACCAGCCCGGTTGTGCAAGGAGAGGACGGGCAGCCATCAATCCCCATGACGGAGACCTGGAAAGGATAAGTGGGACCAGAGAAAGCGGACAGGACACAGTAGGTAGCCCCCATGTTGACTAAAAAGGACACTGCTTTATCTGCTACCTTGATTTTTACCCTGGACTCGGCGAGGGTGATCAGGGTCGTCGAGTTGAGGTCTTGTCAGTCATTGGCAGCCAAGCCCAACATTGCCGTCGGCAGGTCTAGGGATGGAAGGGCTGGCCCTCCGGACCCTGGGCCAGAAGGGCAGTCACTTTTCCAGTGTTCCTCTTGACAGCATGCCAGACATGGCTTAGTGGGTGGCTGTGGCTGCGAGTAGTGTTTGGCCCAGTGGCCCTCTTTGTCACGCTTGAAGAACTTGCCGGGAGAGGTGGTCTCAGAGGGTCTAGCTGGTGTCGCAGGTCTTCCCGGACCACCGACCCCTGCCAGCTGCAGAGCTGCAACCAAGGCCTGCAAGTGAGCCTTCTGGTGAGCATGGGCTTCCTTTTGGACCTCTGCCTGGTCATGATGAGAATGGAAAACCTTAAACGCCACATTTACTAGGTCACCAAGTGGGGTCTGAGGGCCCTGATCCACCTTTTTGAGCTTTCTTTGGATATTGGAAGAGGACTGAGTGATAAAGTGGGTTGCCAGGACCATGGCCCCAGCCTCTGAGGTGGGGTCTAGGCGGGTGTATTGGACAAGGGCGTCTGTGAGGCGACTCAGAAAGGCAGCTGGGTTTTTATCTGCCCTCTGAGTGACCTCCCTCAGCTTGTCATAATTGACTGCGTAATGGGCAGCGGCCTGGAGCCCAGCGAGGACGCATTGCAGTGTGCGGTCTCACTGTCTCCTGCCTTCCTGGCCTGCCTGGGTGTCTGGCTGATAGTTTTATTCTGGTTCATTTTGGGGAACAGCCTCCGCACCTGGTGGCATGGTGTGATCAGTGAGGTGGACCTGGTCAGCATGGCCCTGGGCAGCCGTCCAGACCCGTTCCTTTTTGTCAGTAGTCAGGGTGGAAGAAAGGATAACAAAGATGTCATGTCAAGCGAGGTCATAGGCCTGAGTGAGATATCGGAATTTTTTGGTGTAAGCGGTAGGGTTATTGGAAAAGGATCCCAGGCGCTTTTTAATCTGAGAGAGATCAGAGAGAGAGAAGGGAACATGGACCCGAGCAACCCCTTCAGCCCCGGCGACCTCGCGGAGCGGGCACAGGAGGGCTGGGCCTGGAGGGTTGCCGTGCGAGCGTGTGTGATGGCTGACCGGGGAGGCCAGCGGCGACAGGGATTTGGGACTATGGCCGGGATAAGGTGGGTGCAGAGGAGGGGGAGAGACGAGAGAGTCAGGGGGATTGGAAAAGGCGGAGGGAGTTTTGGAGGGTAGCGGTGTAGGAGCCGGAAGAGGGGAGACTGGGGGCGGTTGGGTCCAGGTCAGGAGAACCTGGGCTGGGTTGCAGACCTGGCAAAGAGAGGGGCGGAAGCAAAGGTAGAAAACTGCCTGGACAGGGCGGGCGCAGTGGCTCACGCCTGTAATCCTAGCTCTCTGGGAGGCCGAGGCGGGTGGATTGTTTGAGCTCAGGAGTTCGAGACCAGCCTGAGCAAGAGCGA